TGGGAGGAGTACAGAAGAGTTCCTCAAGACATCAGACACCTGGAGATCCACCTGCAGCCTTACAGCACATATCACTTCCGGGTCAGAGCTGTCAATGGCATAGGAATAAGCGAGCCCAGTCCTCCCTCAGACTCATACAGCACGCCAGCAGCCAGTAAGACTCTCTGAGCTCTGAAACATGTTCTACAAGCTCTTCAGTGCTCATGCTTCCAGCTACAGCAGTGACCAATAACATTTATTTTGGGCATTTTGCCTTTATTTAGATAGGTCAGTGTAATGATAGGAAGTGAAGCGAGGGGGATGGGATCGGGAAAGGTCCTCGAGTTGGGATTCGATCTCGGGACGTCCGAAGCGCAACAGCACTGCACTGCCCACAAGGCTATCAGCGTTGGCAATAACAGTTTTCCATGGCACAGACATGTAAAGGTTTTTTCACTGCAAAACTGAGTTTTCTTCTTCTGTATTTTCTAGTTCAGTTATCTAAAGATTCATAAATCAAGATGCATTTCCCTGACATGTAAAATGGCGTAGGATTGTGAAAAAAAGTGTTCAAATCTGCAATGGAAGTTTCACCCCAATCTCATGAGAAAATGTATTAATTTTACAAGGTGGGGATTTATGAATTGGTAGAAATTCGTTACATTAAAAAACTATATTGCGTCAGCGCGCCGAACATATAGACGTCCTGAGGTTCACTGACCTTTCCCAATCTCATCCCCCCCTCTTTCCCACTTCACTTTCTGTCTAATAACTGTCCTATCAAAATAAAGCAAAAAAACAAACAGCAAAAATAAATCTTAAAAAAGAAGAAAAAAGCCTTATTGTATTGATGATCTCTCTTGCACACAGAACCTGACATGAACCCAGAGAATGTGACGACGATGTCTACTGATTCTGACAGTATGGTCATCACATGGCAGGTGATTAACGATCTCCAGCGCTGCTCCTGGTGAGCTGCCACTCTGCAGATTTCAGCTCAACTCCAATCCAACACACTTGAAGCAGCTCATCAGGGTGTTCAGTGTGGATCATTACAGACAGGCGTTTGAGCTGAAGTCTGCTGGATGGTTGCTGTCCAGGAGTCTTCTCCAAGAGAGAAAGCCATATTACATGTGACAAAGAGAAGATGATTTTGATGCAATCGTCACAATTAATCTCTTTTTTTTTTACATTTGAAAGGAACTGGAGCAACAACAATTTAATGGACCAGGTTTTAAGTACAAGATCTACTGGCGTCAAGCTTCAGGCAGGAGTCCACACTGGAAGGAAAGCAGTGCCTCAAATCCTCCGTTCATTGTGAACGGCACCGGGACTTTCATCCCCTTCGAAATTAAAGTTCAGGCAGTCAATGAGCTTGGTGCAGGACCAGAACCAGATGCTGACATCGGCTACTCGGGGGAAGACTGTGCGTTCTCAAACATTTTCCTGCTTCAGTTTTACCCTGTGCTTTGCTTTATCTTAGCCCAGCATTTCCAGAAAAAAATATTTTTCAGTTTATTTTTTAAAATCTTTTGACAGTTTCATAGAAATGCCTCTCATTCTCTCACAGTACCTCTGGAAGCTCCTTCAGAGGTGGCAGTGACCGAGCTGAATAAAACCGCTGTCCTGGTAAGATGGAGTCCAGTCAGCATGGAATCTGTCCGCGGACACTTACTCGGCTACAAGGTACATTATCTATAAACCATCATTTATAGTTTCTGCACTTGGCTCCCAGCTAGAAATTGTATTGTTCTAAGAATGTTCTGAGAACATTAGGTTAAGTTCTGGGAATGTTTTCAGCGGCAAGTTTTATTTTTGATTCCAGAATATTCTGCTAAAAGATAGGATAACATTCTCTAAAAACATTCTAAAAATGATCCCAGCTTCACCTATTATAAACCAGTTTGACTTTATTTCTGTCATATACAGTGGGTACGGAAAGTATTCAGACCCCCTTAAA